CACCCTCTAATCGCACCAAACCACAAGTTGTGAATGATCCCTGTCTCCCCACCCCCAGTCTTGCCAAACCTCTGGGTCTGCACTCAGGTATGTCTCTTTGCCTGGAATCATCATAGCCCTTTATCTGTTGAGCCTTCACTTCCTCTGAGAAGTGTGCCTAAAAACCTTTCTTTCAATCCTGTCATGACTTCTATGCCATTAACTCCCCACCCTCACCATCTTGAAAAATTATTATTTATGAATTAATCCACAAATAATCATCACCTCCTAGTCCTGTGTTGCCAACCCTTTCCAAGAGAAGAGAAAATAACTGAACAAATGGGCATCATTATCAATTTAGAGTTTTAAATGTACCCTGAACCTTGAACACTGCCCAGTCTTGTCTTTAGTCAATAGTATTTGACATTCCCCTTAGTAGCTGTTGCAAACTTTTGTCTCTTTTATTTTTCCCCATATATGTCTCTCCTCCAATGTGTGGACTCCTAGAAGGCAGGATCCATGTATTTTCATCTTTGGAACCCAGGACCTTAACTCTGGAGCTGTATAAAAATATTGGTAACTGACAGTAACCACCACCTAGGGTGTGCTGGGTTTTTGGGAAGGGGGACAAAACTCCTGGAAACCAACCCATAAAGATGTGTCAGAGCTCAGACACAGAAGTACCCCTGATAATGAGGGTGAGGAAAGCAGGGCACTCAGGCGTGTGGCATAGGACGGGCCTTTTAGATATTTGGCAGAAGCTACCACGAGGAGTGGCCAGTCCCTCTTCCTCTAAATCAAATCAAGATGTGTGAAATATGACCCTGGACTCTGCCATGGCAGTCTGTGAAGCTCACAAAGCTGCATTCACATTCTTCTTCTTTCATCAATTTGTATTAAACTCTGTTTTGCACTCAAGTTTCCCCACTTGTGAGCCCACTGAGAAGAGGACCAGTTTCTGAGATCTGAAATTATAGTTAAAATGGCAGTTCTGTGCAAGGGTAGTCATGAGCTTCGGAGAGGGAAAATGCAGTGGATTCATGATCAAATATACCTAACGTGCTTTCCCCTCTTTTTTTCTCCATAATGAGGATTTGAAACCATGATGATTCTATCATCTGAGTAGAAATGGCAAATAACAAGACTTTTCTTTAATGACATCAAGAAAGATGAACTCACTACTATTATATTAAAAACTTTTCTTTGTTAATGATGTCAAGAAAGATGATCTCACTATTATATTAAAAACTAGTGTGGGGCTTCCCTGGTGGCACAGTGCTGATGCAGGGGACACGGGTTCGTGCCCCGGTCCGGGAAGATCCCACATGCCGCAGAGCGGCTAGGCCCGTGAGCCACGGCCGCTGAGTCTGCGCGTCCGGAGCCTGTGCTCCGCAACGGGAGAGGCCACAACAGTGAGAGGCCCGCGTAACGAAAACAAAACAAAACAAAAAAACTAGTGTGTATGTAACTCACCATATATTGCTGTGGACTTTTGCAAATTATATCTGTGTTCATGAAGTGGTCCTGTGATATGCGTATTCTTTCTGCAGATGAGGCAGAACTAAGGCTTTCAGAACTGAAATGGCTTATACATGGTCACTCTGTTACTAATTTGACTCTTTCTTCAGATTCTGTAAAATGTGATTTTAAAGAGATAACTGTGCAAAGAGAAAGGATCTACTTTATATATGTCATGGAAAATTCATATAACTGGTTACTTAAGTGTTCATGTAGGGGACATGTGTGAGTAGCTTCACAAAGATTTGGAAAAACTTAGGGATAGTGGTGTGACAAATTTTTATTGAAGGGAATAATATTCTGGGGGAAGTATTACTAATTATATTATTACTGGCATTAAGAAGGTCATGGAACCTTTCAGAATGTACAATGTATTTTGTTTCCTGAATTGAATGTAGAATAGGGTCCTGGATGGCCCTTCTGGTGACAAGATGATTAGTACCTTCACAGTTAACTGACCAAGTACAGATTCTGAGAGATGTTGACCAAGGAAGATGATTTCTCCCTGAATTTCCACAAGGAAACAGTCCACAGCTTTTATCTCTCATCCTGAGGGAATGGAGGATGAACCACGAGAGTCTTCCTACAGGAACCCTGACCCACATCAACGACTGTTTCTTGATGCCACTGTCTACCCTCATGGGGTATACACTGGCCTCATCCTAGGTGCTCTGCCTCCACAGGGTGATTCAGGTAGACACCTGGAATCAGAAGGTCTGTGCGTGTCGCCTTCTCTCAGGCCAGACCAGCAGTGACTGCCATGAGTAGCACAGCAGGGATATGGACTGTACGGAGAGCTCTAGAAAATGTAGAGAATGCTGCTTGGCTTGGGAGAAACAGCAGGCAGAAGCTCAAACCAGAGCCTTGCAGATGAGGTTTTAGCCAATCAGAAAAAGGATTTTAAGCTGACACTCTTGCTGCTGCTAGTTGAAAAGTTTGTGTGAAGAGGCCTGTAAGACCAGGCAATCCCCAGGTCTGAGGCAGCATCCACTGCACAGCCCCAGAGCAGAACGGAGGGAATTTCTCCCTTAGGACAGGAGGGAGGACATGGGCCAGAAGCCTCTGTTTATTCCAAGGGACCCTGAAGTAAGGTCTGAGGGACCTGAGGCACCTTCAAAATCCCTCTCTGACTGTTCTTTGTTGCCTCCCAACCCTACTACCGGTCTGAGTTTGATGTTCCTCTTTTATGTTTTCATCCCTCCATGGAAGCCCTCCCTGCTCTGAAATTACCCTGATCCTGAGTGCGCCACTGCTGGTGGAAGCCCAGTGACAGATTTCCCAGTCTCAGGTGCTCTGGGACTATGCACCTAATTCAGAATATTGAACTAACTCATTGTCTTCATGTGCCACTAATGGAAACTTCTTGTCGTTGCCTCTTCCCTATTTCTTTTTAGCTGGTAAACTCTTTATGGCCTGCTTGTAGATCCTTTCCTCTATTTTGAGAGAGAGAATAGAGGGAGAAACACTTATTGTCTTGTTTATTAATGTTTTCCAGGCACTGTTCTAATTGCTCTATAACCATTTAATACTGCCCCTAGTCATGGGCAAGAGGAGCCTGATAAATAATACATTTATTTAAAAAAACACATTGATACTTCTGCCATTGGGGATTTGATGCTTAGGGCTGGCACAATCTGTACAATACAATATTACTGTACTGTTGTACAATCTGTAACTATAAGTATCTGCTCCCTCATTAACACTATTCAAGCTGCAGGAAATGCTTCTCTACATCTTTTGCTCTCTGTCCTCAGAAATAAAGGTGACTGTGTCTGAATGCTGTTAATGTTTGTGGATTGTGTTTTTGCTGACATCAGATGGTTCAGGGAGGATCTGAGCGGCTGAAGAGATTTTAAGAGAAAAGTCAACTTAATTTTTCAAATACATTCAAAGAGCATAAGTGCAATAGATTGTTATGTAATGAAAAAAATCACTTGCCAGCAGGACTGGTTGTCAAATTTTGTTTGTTTTCTTGCTCCACGTATAAACCTGATACTGCCAACAGTTACACTTGGCAGCTGAGGAACATTTTGCGATATTAAGCAAGTCATATTACTCTTAAGTTTGTATATATGAAGGCCTAGATATAAAATGCACGAAGCATGACTCACATTTTACAAAGAGAAGTCTGAGGCAAAAAGGTTCAGTATTTTGTTGGCTCTCATAAAGCACATCAGTGGTAGACAATGTCCCTGGTAGTACAGTGGTTAAGAATCCACCTGCCAATACAGAGGACACAGGTTCGAACCCTGGTCTGGGAAGATCCCACATGCTGCAGAACAACTAAGCTCGTGCACCGCAACTACTGAGCCTGCACTCTAGAGGCTGCGAGCCACAACTACTGACGCCCGCATGCCTAGAGCCCGTGCTCCACAACAAGAGAAGCCGCCGCAATGGGAAGCCTGCGCACTGCAACGAAGAGAAGTCCCCACTCGCTGCAACTAGAGAAAGCCTGTGTGCAGCAACGAAGACCCAACGTGGCCAAAATATAAATAAATAAATTTAAAATAAATAAATTTAAAACAAACAGCAACAAAAAAACCTTTTTTTTTTTTTTTTGTTCTTCCATGCCTTTATTGGTGACAGCAATGGACAACAACAATGCCAGGCATAGCAAGATACCTGGGGTGGCAAGCAGGCACTTGCTACATCAGTGCAGCTCAAAACCATCTCCTTCAAGAACTCTGCTCTTCCCACCACAACTTAAGGGTCCTCAGAGTGTCTAAGATAATAAAAGTGAACTTGTCTGTGACAATGATTTTCTCTCCCTGAAATATGATCCCCACTTATTTTCCCTTACCCCAAATCCCAAGAACAATAGGTTTTAAATAAATATCACAAGGCTTTCCTGGTGGCGCAGTGGTTGAGAATCTGCCTGCCAATGCAGGGGACACGGGTTCTAGCCCTGGTCTGGGAAGATCCCACATGCCGCGGAGCAACAAGGCCTGTGAGCCACAACTACTGAGCCTGCGCGTCTGGAGCTTGTGCTCTGCAACAGGAGAGGCTGCGACAGTGAGAGGTCCGTGCACCGCGATGAAGAGTGGCCCCTGCTCGCCGCAAGTAGAGAAAGCCCTCGCACAGAAACGAAGACCCAACACAGCCAAATATAAATAAATAAACAAACAAACAAACAAATAAATAAATATATCGCAGAGATGTCTACTCTTGAATCATTTTATTTTTCTTCTTGTTCTTTAAACTCCGAAGGCATTCAATCTTCCGATCATTCAAAACTGAAAGGAGTCTTCACCCGAAATGTTCATCCAGTGTAATTTGATGAAGACAGAGTGCCAGGCATTAGATTGAGAACCTTCCAAACAAATGTCTGCCCAGAGATACATGAGGTACTTCAGCTCCAGTGCTGATTGGTTCCTTTCCTTGGGACTCTCTAATCCTGCCATACATGGAAGCTTTCATAGGCTTTTATTCTCTAAAGTAGGCACACCAGATCCACTGGGTGTGAGCTGTGTTCAGTACCATTACTTCTTCCTTTGTTCTCAATTATGTCTGGGACGGTGGCTCTGCAGATCCCCAGAGGCCTTTGGACAACAGCTGTGATGGTGATGCTGATGGTGCTGAGCACCCCAGGGGCTGAGAGCAGAGACTCTCCACGTAAGTGCAGGGCAGCTTCTCCCCAGGGCCACCACTCTGGGGACCAGGCTCTGAGGGACACTTGGCCTGGGGTGTGATCTCAGAATATTTCCTCTCTTTGGGGATGCGAGCTATGTTACATTCTCATTTCCACCTTCTAATGACCACACAGGAGTCGGGTCGGGGTGGCAGAAACGCAGAGGAAACCCACGCATGGGAAGGAAGGCACTTTGCCAGGGACCCAGAGAATGTGCCTGTCAGGACGAGGACAAGCTCCGTTCTACAGCTCCTTTGTTATTCCCTTGAAGTCTTGCGCTTATGTAGACACTTGTTTGTCTCTGAGGTTCCCAGGATTTCGAGGGAAAATGACATTTCATGTGAGAACGTCCTGATCCCTCTAAGTACAGAGATGGATGTAAAACCAAACCGACAGCCCTGTTTACTCGGTTCTCAGGGTCAGGCAGGAATCACAGGTCCCAGGGCTCCCCTCAGAGACAGGCCTCCTCGCACGAAAGTCATTCTGGAAGCCCTCAGACGGGGCGGGAGGCCTTGGAAGAGCCGCCTGGGGGCTCCGGGTTCGCAGCGGGAGGCGCAGGGCTGGGCTGGGCCGGGAACCCGGGGTTGAGCGGCGGGTTTCAGGTTTTTCCGACCCAGCTGGCCACGGGCCGACATCGCCCCGCCTGCCGAGCGGCTGCCGCCTGGCTGAGCGGCGGTGTCTCCCGCAGAGGATTTCATGTTCTGGCACATGAGCCTGTGTTACTTCACCAACGGCACGGAGCGGGTGCGGTTTGTGGAGAGATACATCTATAACCGGGAGGAGTTCACGCGCTTCGACAGCGACGTGGGCGAGTACCGGGCGGTCACCGAGCTGGGCCGGCGGACCGCCGAGTACTGGAACAGCCAGAAGGACCTCCTGGAGCAGAAACGGGCCGTGGTGGACACGGTGTGCAGACACAACTACGGGGTTGGGGAGAGCTTCACGGTGCAGCGGCGAGGTGAGTGCAGGCCGCCCTCCGCGGGCCCCCCCCCCACGCACGCCGAGACTCCGCGCGGGGGTGAGGGGTCTGGGCCGCGGGGGTGGGATCCCCAGGCCCGCGGAGGGGACAGCGAGCCCTGGCGTCCCGCGCGGAGGGCCGGGGACCGAGGGCACAGCAGGGAGACGGAGGTTGGTAGCCCTGGAACATTTCCCGCAGAGGCGGGTCTAGGACTGCTCAGTGTGGCCCCAGCTCTCGAGAGCCTCGTCCTGCGCAGTTCTTTCCACTAATTCTGCTCGTTCCCGCCTCGTGCCTTTGGCTTCTTGGCTTCCCGAAGCTCAGGAGCTCAGGCTGGTGGAGTTAGGGCTGCTCCACGGCTGCTCTCAGGGCACCTTACACACGTGGTGATATATTACAGCCATGAAAGAATACATTTTCACTTTTTGGTTTCAAATCATTATTCATCTTAATCCTGGTTTCTTAAATGGATGTCTCTGTATCACTTGTCCCGGCCCTCTTTCTGGCAAGGGACTGTCTTAATTATCCCTGTGTGCCTAGTACCTGACACACTGGCAGGTAGTATGAGCTCCATAAACCTTGCTTAAATTAATGAATAAATGTTCTCTGTTGCCCAGCCACTTAGGCTCAAGAGAAAGCATAAAGGTAAATAGGGTCTTAAAACCTGACCGTATTAATTATTCTTTACGATTTTGCGTTAATGCTTTAAAGTAAACTCTTATTGACTTGGATCTTAACAATTTAGAATTCGTGAATGCAAAGCCTGAGGAAAAAAAGTGTTTAGTAAAAATAGAAACAGTACTTGAGTGTTGTTATAAGGCAACGTTCTAATTTCTTAGAAAAGCTCAACAAATGGCTGATATCAGAGCTGAAGTTTTGGGGTAAATAAGTTGATGCCATTTAATTACTGAATAAAAATTGTTTCAGGTTCCGTTGGCCTCTGCCTATCCTCTCTCTCCCTGCCAGCTCCCCCAACGTCCACTGCAGGGGTAGACATTCTGAAAGTTAATTATACCAGTTTCATGAGCACCTATTGCTAGACAATTGTCTTACCAAACACTACCTATACTATGCCACTTAATTTCCTTGGTGTTAGCAATCAGCATCACCACTTTATATATGCTAATATTGGTACATAATAAACAGTTTAAGTAATTACACACAGTTATTCACTGTCTTGAAGCCTCCCCCAAATACACAATAGTCATCATGTTCTTTACTACATGTATGTAGAGTCTAATGGAAGCAAAGCCTCGTTTAAGGCAGTTATGACCAGAAGCAGCAATGAGTCTGTTCCTGCTTATTTTCAGTGTCAGTGGGACAAAATGATACATTCAAGGGATTGAAAACTCACTGATTAATCCCTAGTCTGACCCTGGTGTTCTCTGTGTATGTTCACATAACTTTTAGCTTACTTTACCCTATCTTGCCTTCTCCTTCATCTGGATGCCACCAAGTACATACATGTATTTTTGCTATTTCAGTTCTTTTTCATAAAAACTATTCTAAAATTTCTCTCTTGAACTTGTGACCTCCATTTTTTACTCCCAATCTGTTTAAGACGAACAGATTTTATAAGTCCACCTTGCTGACCATGACTTTAGTCAGAGCCCAGGGAGAAGGACCTGATCAAGAGTTAAAGGCCAAACTGAAAACATGATTCTTTCCAGATGATGGCTCGCGAGCACCATGTTATTGGGGTGACGAGACTGTCTGCCGACCTCAGCAAGTCCCAGTTACATTGTATGTTCATGTGACATGCTCACTAACCTGGGCCAACTTCTGCAAGAATCTCAGAATATTTTCTATAGAGAACATACATGATAATTATGTCTGATTTCAGAGCAAGGCAGTTATTCTTAATAGCAAAGGGATGGAGTAGGGTTGGCAGCTCACTTGAATGTTAAAAGAAAATTAGGGGAAAAAAGTAAATGAGAGTACGTAATGTATTATCAAATAGCTAAAACACTGCATGAAATATTTACTATAGTTTTGCACTCAGGGAATGAGGGAGATGCAATAAAATGGCTGCAGAGATAAAGGATAATACGCGTAAAACAGGTTGGGAGGTGTGTCATATTTGACCATGAGTAGCAATCTGAGAAGATAAAGGAATCAAGGCATGGGCAAACACGATGTTTTATCAGTGTTACTTGTTTTCACAGTTTCCTTTCTTTTCCTTCAAAAATCACAAACTTTTGACATAACGCTGTGGTTCTTTTTTGTTTTTATGTTTTGTTTTCTCTTTGTTACAAGATTGCAAGTTCTGTAAAGGCAGGGGCCACAGTTCGTTGTTTATCTTTGGGTCCCCAGTGCTTGTCAAATTTATATTTGTTGAATGAATGAATGAATGAATCAAATAAAGTATATGTGGCATAAATGAACTCGAGATGGAAGTGTAGGTATTTAATTATATAAATTTTTGTGGGGAGTTCACCACAGAATGGCATTTGAGCTAAGATGAGGCTAAAAACTGAGAGGGATGCTTTGTTGACCGGTAAGAAGTGCTCTCGCTCTCGAATTCTGTATTACAGGGCTGAGGGTTATAGATGTAGCCTGTTTGAAAAGCACTGCTTTGTAGGAAGGATGTGATGGTCACTGTTGTCCCGTTTTACTGGACATAGAAATGTCTGTACTTTCTTAATTCTCAGTCCATGGGGCCATGACTACTGTTGATCATCTCATGGCCAGCAGGTGGCAGTCAAAGTTGCTGGATTTTCTCTACTGTGGGGAGCACAGAACCTAACAGAAAACAGTGTCACTGACCTAGCACAAGTCACTAGAGCTTATCCTCATGGTCACTTCTAGGTGGGAGAGCGAGGGGGAACAAGTTCAGGTTTATTATTTTATTTTAAAAATGTTATAAATAGTGGCCTGTATAATTTTAAAGTGCTTCTTTTTTTTTTTTTTTTTTTTTTTTTTTTTTT